CAGAATTACAGCAGTGCGTGTTAACCTTAAAATGGACAGAGCTGGTTAACAATGAACAGATACTGACTACCAGAGAAGTTTATAGTTTTCTGTATATTGTTATGGTTAGTGTCAAAGTTATCGGTGACGTCTTACTGGGCAGCGGCCTGTGGAGTCAGTGGGTTTACAGGTCTGCAAAAGCAGCTCCATCCAGAAGTCCATGCTGTCCTGCTTTAGAGATTTCACCTCAGGTAGCTTTGCAAATTGCCGGTACAGGATGTACGTCTCCATGATCGATGCCACATACCTGAGAGGAACACCAACCTCATTAATCCATGTGAAATGAATAAGTAAATAAGACCATAATCCCTCTCAATGCTTTCTAGTCCAAAAAAGGGTTTCTCATTTTTCAATCAAATCAATGAATCATCCTGATGATGATTAAATATGTTGGTCTGCGTGATAATGAAGAACCGCCTCACCAGACAGGGGCCTTGAGCCTGTAGAGTTTTTCAGAGGCCAAGATGACTTTCCGATGTTCGTTGACGAGGATGTTTGCTCCGAGGTAGAAGCCGACGTCCCAGTAGTCCTTCATCTTCTCCAAACTGCCTTTTCTACCGAGCAGGGTGCTTATAGTCACACCTGAACACCAACACAAACACAGAGCAAAAACAGTTACAAAATGACAGATACATTTCCAAACTAATAGGCTCATATGTGCATCAACAGATGATGGCCCTGTGCACAACCACAAGCCCATTCATCTCCAGCATGCTGAGCCGGAGCAGCAACAATGTAGTAATATAAGGCCATCATGCATGTGCATTGCTGGCACAGAATTTGCCAGCAATTGATAAATAATAATATATAAATTCTAAACACTAATACACAATTGTATCAATCCTGATGTGTATTGTGAAATGTTTCTCAAGTACTCTATGTATAAACACACTCTCCTACATCATGCAATTAGCTGTAAAACGATTGGTTTTCTGCATATTGCAATGCATGCATAAAACATTTAAACTCTAACCAGAACTGTGGCTTTGCCAATTCAACATATGGGTTGTATCATAGCAAAACCTATGGATTATATTATACCCCTTAAATGTAAAGTGTAATTCATAGGTAGGTTAAACTTTGACACACTAAACCTGTGGACCATAAACATATATTCTTGCCAAATGATCAGAGCAGGTATTTGTCACTGATTCTCTCTGATTAATAAAGCATTACGCACCTATTTTGCGCATCTCAATAGAAGTGTCAAATTCATGTCCAGCAACCATCAGGAGGACCACGTTGTTGATGCCCGAGTGAAGAGTTGGCTCGAACTCAAAAGCTTTTCCATACCTGTCGAATAACGTAAAAATATAATGCCAGCACACTGCAAACACATACAAACAAGCAAAAATCATAAGAGTACACATTAAACAGGATCTGTAGTGACAAACTGTAGTTTACAAAAGACAGACAAATGGCACTTCTCATTAGGTTAAGACCAGATCTCAGAACACTAAGTGGTTGTACCAATAGCAGGCATGGTCTCTGCTGCTCTGATCAGTGAACCCAGAGCTCATGAACATGTCTTTGTAGATCCGTCCACAAAGGCAGTAGACGTCTGACACCACATTGACCCCCGACTCCGCAATAGGCAGAATGGCCTCCAGAGCCTTAGCGCGATCTCCGGGGTGATTCCTCCTGGTGTGGTAAAAATGTGACCGTGTCAACAGTGAGGAGCTTTAACAAAAACCTTTACATCTTGGATAAACAAATGACAAATAAAAGGCTACCAGCTGATAAAGGCACAGAAACACTAAACTGAATCCAGAGAAGAGATTACAATAGTTTAATTGTGCTAACTTGTAAAACAAAACGTGGGTGCATTTTCATGGAGCCATCTAGGTACCTGTTTAGAGCAAATATGTAGTTAAATTTGATGTTCTGATGTTTTGCTACCAGACACATGGGCAGGTCGTTCAGAGTCTCCACCAGTTTGATTATGGCATCGTAGTCCTGAGAAAAGACAGTATAATATTCCAATGCATTATTTACTAGGCTTGCATCTAATGACATCTTATAATTACCAGCCGCGACGGTGTGTGGCTGGCATTGTTTTCACTTTGTGAGTCTGTGTGTGTGTCATCATGGCATAATCTGGTCATAAAGTAGTAGGCCAATCCTGCACTCCTACTTCTGGTGCCCTTGCTCAGACCACACCGCTCAAACTCCGCCTTCATTTTGATCTCAACTGCACAGTCCTGACACACACACACACACACACACACACACACACACACACACACACACACACACACACGGCCGGTATCAACCACTGTTTGTAGCCCATGACCTTTTACTCATTTACTCACATGCACAGGTAAACACACACCTGAATGTCCCTGTAGGACAACAGCAGGTTCATAACTACATCAGGGGTGAGCAGCTCTACACTGTCCAGGCGTTTCTGGATGCAGTTTAACTCCTCACTCAGGGCTTGGCCGCTGAACCGCTCCCGTGCCGTACGAATCTCATGCCTGATTGACTCCTGGAAGTACTCGCTGTCGGCACAAAGAGCAGAGGAATTATAACACTCTCACAATCTTGAACAAATCAGCCAATGGGGGAAGCTGTGAGTTACAGTATCAGCAAATGCATGCGTTATCTGAGATGATAATGTTTTTTGGCTAACCACCCGATGGTGAACAAAGCCCTGCAGTTAATGCCTGACCTGGACTGGATTTGTACATTGTTCAGCAGATGCACCAGTCTCTCCACCAGCGGGGTTAGCAGGGGCTCCAGCTGGAAACTAGGCTGCATCAACTCTTTGATACTAGACATCATGATCGTAGCGTCACAGGCAAACACTTTACCCTGAGGCGACACGACGTATGAGATGAATGTGTAACTGCCACACTGCTCCTGAAGGAAGATAATACACACATCATACAAGGGACAAGTGCACACAAGGAGGCCTCAATGGAGCTGAGGCATCATTTGCAAGTTGTAAGTGCTTTTGCTTTTAATGCTTCATTAAATATTTAATGTTAAACTCTTTCATAAATGCAATCGATTTGCTCCTGATTTGAAAATGATCTTTGTCCTTGACTACGGACATAATAACCGCTTCATCAAATCTCTCTCATCCTGCATGAATTGCATTTTTTTATTTCAGAGCTTTTCTCTGTTTTACATAATTGTAAATTGACTATCTTTGGATTTTGTGCCATCAAAGCATTTGATGATGTCACATTTACATTTGGAAAATAGTGATGGAATTTCCCTGACATTGTTCAGACCCAACCATCAAATAGTCAAGAAAATAATCAAAAAAATCAACTGTGTGCCTCTATTGGCTCCATCATGCCACTCCCATTACCGCTAAGATTGCAAAACGTCTGAGGTTTAAAATAATGAATATCCTGAAAATAAATGTTTCCCCCTGTTCAAGATAGATTACCTCTCGGTCATCTTTATATCAGTTCCCATTTAACTTAATAAGTGGTGCATATTCTGACACAATTATTACAAACTAATTAAACCTGACTTTGGGGCATTTTGTAATCCATGTTTGCAGATCTAGTTGACTTATGACATTCATTCATAACAATGACACAATGGAAGTTACCTTGAGAGCCTGTAGATCACTATCTTGCTTGTAACAGTATAGGATGATGTTATTGGTCATGCTGAAACTTTCTCTCACTCCCAAATGATAGTAAAGGGAAGGCTGGCAGAAAGAGTCACTCATCTCAACCACTGCTACATCTGTGGGGGGGGGAAATCGTTTAGGGCTGGTTAGTTTGCGTAATTGGCATAGTACTGCCCATGTGTGTCATCCAAATTGCCCCGTAGTCAGCATGCCTGCACTTGCCTGCGTTGTAGAAACAATCCAGAATGTCTGTGGTGCCCAGGGATATTCTCTCATATGAAATAGTTTTGAAAACCGCGTGCGCGTCCGCGCAGGCTTCCTTCAGGCATTTCAGGGTTAGGTTCTCCTCCGTCTGCGGCACCGATGCGTCCTCGTTCACAATGTATGCCACGGATAAAGCTCTGGTCCGGCTCCGTGGAGAAACGATCGGTTTACCCGAGCCGCTGGCGCTCGGATCTACAGCCGAAGAGTCCTGCCACAAACTTCCAGCTGACACCCAAACGGGATCTTTCCTCCTCTGCTCGTACAGGCTCATTCGCCTGCGCTCTGTCGTGTACATTTGTTCTGCCTTATTCCGCAGCTGAAGCGCAATGCATGTCCTTCGTAGGGACAACTTCCATTATAAAAAACGCAAACAGCACGGTTGCGTGTTCTTGTAATTCCCCAGGTGTGTCGCCGCCCCCGCTCACAGAACATATCCACTGTCATTCCCGGTACTCCTCTCGACCCGCCCTCCCCTCCCCTGCTCCCCTCCGCCCCGCCCCGTCCGCTGACATTTTGAGAGTGAAACTACTCTGCTTCGACTCTCGCACGACACCTGCTGTGAAAATTTTTTATTCAGCAGTTGTCACCACCGCAATGCCACCTTTTAAATACACTTGATATTTTTTTCCAATTATGTCTTCTTGCATATAATGAATGAATAAGCCCCATTCTTTAAATAAATAAGTCAGTCAGAGATGTAGAAACAGGTGGACAAGCTGGGGCGAGAGGGAGATGAATTGTTTGGTCTCTTGCTTTGCTTCACTTGTAGTCTACTTTTTTCAACTTAAATGAAAGGAAAAAAACATAAAAGACAGAGCATACAGTGCTGTTAGTGCGCACTTAGTGGTTTAGCTCAACAAGGATCTAACCCTGGGACACTTAAGCACATTTAAGGCCAGATTCCTATAATATTCTCCAGTTCCTTGCAGTATGATATAAGCTTATATAGGCTTCCAGACCAAGCTAAACCAAAGAAAACAAAAAGTAGTTTCAATGCACAAATGCTTAATATGAATGTTTATTCATAGAAAATTGTAAAATAACCACATGACATCATGTACAAACCTCTGATGAGGTGTCTACATTAAAACTCTCAACTCCAATCCAAATTTTCACTGTCTTTATTTACAGTACATGAATGAAAATTGACTATGAATGCTGTCGGCTTCAGAACAGAAAAATAAAAAGGTTAAGACTGTAAATACACACAGCATTAGTGCAAGGAAACGCATAACAGCATCACCCATTTCTTCCCCTGCACTACAAAAGCAAAAAAAAGAAAAAGGCAATATCATTACAAGTTGTATGTCTGTAATGTTTTACTCTGACAATATGCGATTGACATTCCACGTATCGTACATTGACATATACAGCTGGGACATAGACAAGAGATTAGTCTCCTGTTCAACTTTGTACTGAGTGCTGTGATCCAAAAATATATAATTAACTATTGTATTTAGCAAGGTATCTTTATCTGGCACCGAGCACTTTGTATTGTGAGCACTGTCAGATGTGAGATCAGTCACGCGTCACACAGACATTACACAATCAACCTGAGAATAGGAAGTCTTCTTTGAGACAGTTGTGGCAGGTTTAAGCAACAGTTCAGTAATTACAGATTATACAAACCAGCCTTGTTCCATAATTGTATTAAAGTCCCACATTTACCGGTTCCATTCCCTGCCGAAACAGCTATTTTGTTTAACAGTGACGGTGATGTTGTGCGATCTGAAGGAACTTGGGAAATGTAGTTTATGGAAAACAATTTACTCATCGAGACCCTCGTCGTCTTCCTCCTCCCCCTCCGGCTTGGCGTCCACCTCGCTCGTATCTGAAAACTCATGCAGGAGGACGTACTCGCGGCTGCTGAAGCCAAACTTGATGACATCCTTTTCTTTGAGCTCGTAATAGCGCTGGGCTTCGATGCGCTGATTGTTCAGGTAGGTGCCGTTGCCTGAACCCAGGTCAATGATGTAAGGCCTTACCCTGCGGCCACCGGTGCCGTCTGCACGTGTAAACGCCATCAGTCTACAGAAATACAGGCAGAAAGAGAGACAGAAAGTGTTACCAATACAGCAACAAAATCATCAAAGTGTAATGCAACATGGAGTGGAATTTTGTCCAAATCACACAGATTGAAGTTGTAAAGTACAGCAAAGTAAAGAAAACCTGAGCTGATAATTGTTATTCTTACCGATACTGGAACACTGCATGTTGCTTGGAGCAGGATGGGTGGTCAATGGGGATATCAGCAATTTTTCGCTGACGCCCCAACAAATAGGCACTCTGTCTGTGAATGTACATGACTGGAAGGGGCTCATCATTCTTGAAGGGGTACAGCCGCCATCTGCGCTTAGGAATGCGGGCCTCGGGTGGCTCGTTGTACTTGATCACCACCCCCCGGAATGTGTTTGTATCTTCTGTTAGAGCCCCCGACAGTCCAAAGTTGGGCTTCTCTTTATCAACAGGTGGGTCACTCCCTCCTTCAGACTCTCCCATATCTTGTTCTTGGGTTTCTTCGCGCCGCTGGCGGTTTTCTCTGCGCCGCTCATCGTGCTGCTGCCTCTCAGCTTGTTGAGAGCCAAGTGCGCCTCGCTCTCTCGGTCTGTCTCTGCCGCTGTCTCTCTCCCGCGGTCTGTCTGATTCCCACCTGCTCCGCCTCTCCTCTGGCTGATCGGTCCTTCTCCGCCGCTCATCACCACTGGCCCGATGCTCCTCCCGCTCCTGAGAGATTTTTGGTAAGAAGACGATTATTAGCCAAGGACAAGCTCGAACAGTTACAGATGTTTACAGGCATTACCATATATTATATTACATTCAGTCAGAGTGGCCATTGTTATGTCATTGTTGTATCTGGCATATGACACCGACGACTATGTTGTTCTACTGACATATGCCACTTATAAATGGCGAGTTATTGTAATTACAGTAAGAGCTAAAACATCACATTGACACACACACACCATTTGAGACTGACATCATGAGACTATTACACATAACTACCACTTGTAGGCAGTTGTCATGTGCTAATACCTTAATGGTAGCAATGCTATCCGGCCCACTATAGCCAAATATTGGCTCTGTTTGAAGAAAAAGTTTGAACAACCATTCAATTTTTAAACGGTATTTTTTGTGTATATATTTTTTCCAAAGTTGTGATTTGACATATTATGGTACCTTTTTTTGTAATGCACAACATGCGACTGGTTGGCATTAGATGCCCACAGCCATTGTAATACCTGCATACTGATGAAAAGTGGTATCTGTCAATAGAACACAGGTGACGTACTCACAACCTAACCGTATGTCAGTCCAGCAGCAGTGTGAGGTACAAATAATAATCACTTATCAATCTCTATTAAAGCTGTGAAGCATTTTTTTTTCTTCCTAATTTAGAGCCTAATCACCCGCTTTATTTTGACATCAGCACCACGATGTGGGGGAGAGCGACTTCTTCTGTTTCTGGGAGATCTGCTGCCTCGTCTGACGGGAGATGTCTCTCTTCGAGCTGGTGAACGATCCCTCGTCCTGGCGGGCGATCTACACGAAGAACACAAAAAGAGGTTTAGATGCAGCTAACGCGTTAATAAAGGCTAAGTCAGCGGACAAAGCAACGCGTTTGTAGTGTAAAAAACACATCTGAACTAAAAGCACGTGGTAAAAACTAAGTGACATGTTGATTAAAAATTACCTGCTCGCTCGTCTCCTCGGGGGACTTGAGTTTCCGCTGGATCTCGACCTCGAGCGGCGCGATGTCTGTGGCCTAACGGGGCTCACTTCCTCCTGCTTTACCTTAACTTTGGGCTCCCGCTCCGGTGATTCCCTTCTCTTGTGTCGCTTTTCTTTGGTCATTCTAATATATGTTTACCAAATCCAACCGTTATTTAACTAAACACACATCGCCGTACAAACCAAAGGCGTGTAACAACAAAAGCTAACTCGCGATTACAAAACTTCGACTGTTGTGCTCAAATTACACACTTCCGCTTCCGGGGGTGCGCCGAGAATTTCTGTCAACAGGGACGCAACCAACTTTTGGTTCCGTATGAACGAGTCTGCCATTAACGGTATTTTGAATTAAGCGAGTGTTGTTAAAAATTACGGATTTTGTTTTTTGTCAAAGAACATTTCGTTTTAAAACTCCAAAGGCACATTTGTAAGACGTAAAGTGGACGTGCCATTAAACTCACACAAAGTGGACAGCCAGCGGTCTTCGTTTGTTGTGCTGAATATTATAACAATAGTCTCCAAAATTAGCATTTGTGAACCAAACCACAGATTCCACTCGGACACATTAAAATGGTACGCCTGGACGCTGTTGCCATGCCAATTTAAACGGTTAGAACAAACTTTTTGTGAGCAACGACATCGATATTTCTGTCACTGAAGCTTCACAACAAGACGCTTCTGATTTCTAGTGTATATTTCTTCATTATTTTAACAGAGAACACACAATGATTACATCGGGCGAGTCTCTCGTGAAATACGACAATCCAGTTTGGATCAAAAACACGGACAGAAAATCACCAAAGGTGAGTTTAACGTTACATAGTAACGGCACGAAAGAGTAACGTTAACGTATAACGACTGTATATCATAAACTATCAAAAGAAAAATGTACTTATGAAGCTTAAAGACGTCGTGTGAGTCATTTATGTATATTGAGTTGGAAATAGTAATTTACTTAAAAATATGTTTTACAGGAACAAGTTTGGTTGTATACAAATTACTAAAAGCTAAAAGGTGATTTAAGTCTGTAAACTCTAGAAAAAAAGGTGTGTGGGGGGGGG